ACATACACACACACATATATATACACATACATACAGACATAGTGACAACCTCGCGGGGATGGTCAGGGAAGTTTCCTGTGACCTTCAAACGTCGAGATCTGATGAAAACTCGATTTTTGCAAAACGGGGTTAAAACAATAACTTCCTGATTTTTGAAAATCTGAGATTTTTAGCGGGAAGTTAAAAATTGTCATTTAGTTTTAATTCGAACAGTAAAAAATTGCTAAACTTTTTTTGGTTCAATTGACCCCCTCCTCCCCTACATGAAAAAATTTTTATATGTTTGCCTATATGTTTTCACGTATGTATGTGAGATATATTTGTTCGATTATGAAAAAAAATTGGAAATATTTCAAAAATTGGTAGGAGGAAAATGGCTTATTAAAGCTATTAACTTGCTAGTTTTACTCCGTTACCGATAGCAATAATTTATATTCTTATCATATATGAATAAATCTATATGAATGCATCTCACTTATACATTGACAAAAATGTTACCTTGATTCATAAGAGCAACAATCTTGAACCAAGGATACAATTTTGAAGAAAATGATTTTTTTGAGTCAAGAGAAGAAATTCTTGTGCCAATAATTTATTCTTGACTTAAGTTAACTTTCTTATTAGTGTATGAAAACATACAAGCAAACATATAAAAATTGTTGATATGCGCTTTCAGCGAAGTGAATATAAAATAAATGTACATGTGCGTGAATATAAATTTTTTAAATGTTTTCATACATATTTTTTTCAAAGTGATAATGAAACAAATTACATAAATACTTTACTTCACGAGTTATTCTGGTAACATTTGTTGTCAAAGCTGCATAACTCAGAAATATACAAAAAATCAATATACCACAGTCCAAATATAGTGTAATTGAGTCCTTGCCGTCGTTCACGATGAAAGATAAAATCATGAAGTATAAATTATATGTTGTAGTTGGAACAAAGTAAATTGTCAGCAATAAAATTGGAATTGCATAGAAATCGGCAATCTGATTGCTAATTTCACACAAATTTATTAAGTCGAAATTGATGTTGTAAATGTCTTTGATAAGAGAGTCTTCATGTAGAATTTTAGAAATAAATGATACTTTAATTTTATTCTTCGAACTCAGGTTCCCGATCTTGAGGAGTGTTTTGTTTATATTTTTAAGAAATTGAACAATAATACTTAGAAATATTGTGTATTGCGCGAAAACAGAAGTACCTACAATGAACGGTGCTGCCCACATTATGAAGGTATACTTTGAGTCGACGATAATTTCAAGAATAGCTATACTAAAGCACAGAGCAAAATTGCAAAAGCCGAAAATATAAACAAAACTATCGCTTTCTAATGTATATTTTCGACACTTTTTTAAACTATTATTCACGTCATATAATCTGTTGAGGATGTTCACAATTGTTTTTTGTTGCAGAACATAGGTTAACCACACGATGAGAACGGTAAAAATTCCAGACATCAGAAGAATTTTGTCTATGATTTTAACCATCGCTGATTCTATATGATTTTGATCCAACAATTTCAAAACAAGAATCGTTGTACTGTACACAAACATAACAATTATCAATAAAATATTATACAGTACTCCACATTTTGAAAATTCATGTGGATAAAATGGCTGGTTGTGAAAAAATCTACTGTCAAAAATTTTGCAGACATGGACTTCCCAAGGCACTAATCCGATTAACTTCAAAAATACAATGTATAAATAAAAAAGAGTATATTTAAATTTAAAAAGTAAGTTGGAGGATCTTTTATAATTTCTACGATTTAACAAAGCCTTTTGCTGCATGATGATCACATAAAAATACGCGATCATAAGCATAACCACTCTTCTATATTCACATTTAAACTGACCTAAATAATTTACTTAGTTTAATTTAATCGATAAAATTGCATGTGGGGATTAATATTAATTATGATAATTAATTAATGCTTCTTGAATTTTTAATGCGTTTAATTTCTTTTTAATACAATTCCAGTAATCATTATATTTATGTTATCACATTTTATGATCTTGAATGAATTAATAATTACGAATCATAGTGATGAGCGATGCATTTTATCATGATACTTGATCATTAAAAAGAGCAATTTAGAATAATTCTAAGCAGTTGTGATCGGAAAAATGATTGTTGAATCTTTGAATTAAAAATTTTAATTACATCATTTAGTGATTTGAATTCAGCCCTTTGTCATTCAAATGGTAACTTGATTTGTTATATAATGCAGATTCAGTTCGTAAGATAAAAAACTTTTAACTCATTTATATTTCATAAAGATTTTATCAATTTATCGAGATTTTATCAATGGTGATAGCACTGGATACTACAAATTAAAAGCATACAAAAATATCGTGTATCTTATTCATTTATTTAATTAATGTAAGAAGTGAAACCAACATCAAAGCTATAAGGTTCTAAAGTTCCATATACATAGCATACCCCATGGGGGTAATCATAGAGGAAAGTACCACGGGGCCAAGCTTGGCCCAACTATGTAGAACTCTGGGTCAAGCTTGTAAGCCAGGCTTGGCCCAGTCTTGGTAGAAGCCTGGGATGATAATGATGGACTAAGCCTGGTTACCACGACTGGCCCATGTCTGGTTACCAGGACTGGGCCATAGTTAATTTTCAAGTCTGGCTCATGCAATTTGCTAAAAAATGATAAAAAAAAGAATTTTGTAAGTGTCATTTCTTTATTTTATTTTTTATGTAGAGCTAACACAAATTCAGACCGTTTGACTGATAATTTAGACCTAACTTTCGCTAATCATAGAAGTAAAGTGAAAATCACATTCGTTCTAACTGAGATTCGAACCCGAGCTGCACGCTTGCCAGACTGATAACTATAACCCCAACAACGTACGACCAATGAGTTGATGCACATTTTATCATTTTCATAAGCTAAATCTATATGGTGACAAAGTATGACGGTTTATTATTTCTATAATTTATGTAATTTAATATTGTGTTTTGATGAAAATTAACCATTTTTTAAAAATGTTTATTAGTTAAAAAAATTAGAAAAACGGTTCACCCTAAAGGCCATCCTTGCAACTTCCCGCTTATTTCGTACTTAAACGCTTCAAACTACACTACATTTTTGAGCTCTTCGAGCTCAAAAATATTGTTTTTGTGTCAATTTGAGCTCTTCGAGCTCAGAACTCTAATAGCAGTTTAAAGACACAATTTTTTGAATTTTCAAACGGCAATAACTTTTGAATGAATGAACCGATTTTCAGGTAGTTGGCGGCAATCGACGCAGTTTTTTGAGCTCTATAAAAAAAGTAGCTGTTTTAAGCTTTTGAGCTCTTCGAGCTCAAAAGTCTTATCAAAATTTGATAAAACACGATTTTTTTAATTTTCAAACTGCTATAACTTTTGAATGAATGAACCGATTTTCACGCGGTTGACAGCAATTGACGCAGTTTTTAAAGGTCCATGGAAAATTTTCGAGTTTAAATCAATCGAGCCATGAATTTCGAAGTTATTACAAAAAAACACTTTTTTCGATTTTTTTCGACAACGATATCTCACGAGCGCATCAACCGATTCTGCCGTTTTTGGTGGCGATGCATGGGGGTTTTCAAGGTTAAGAGCTGATTAGTTTTTGAGACCGATCGGTTCAGCCAAATCGGAGATATTTAAAAAAAATAAAAAAAAAACAACTTTTTTTTCACTTTTTTTGGATTTTCTCGAAATCTACCGGTCCGAATCGGTTCAAATTTTCAGGAAATCTAAGTTTAGTGAGGCCCTTTCGAATGACACCAACCGCGATGAAATCGGTCAAGCCGTTCAAAAGTTACAAGAGGATTACACACACACATACACACACACTCGGGGCAGAAGAGATACTGCTACCGGGCGCGTCTCCCCGAGCGGATGGGAGAACGCTCGCTGTCCTTGGATGACACTTGGATAATCTCTTAGTTGATGAGGTACAGCGGGTAGGAGTAAAATACGCTCCCGTGGACAAAACTCCCCTTTAATGGGTTGGTCACACTAACTGACCTAACAAGACGAGGGTAGCGTTGTTCGCGTCCGTAGATACTGCTTTAACACCCTACACGTGCTCTCCGGGTAGTGCTAAATGAACAACACCAAATTAACACCAAACAACGATATGCAAATGTCACAAGATATTCAATTATCGTTTACAGTACAGAGGATGGATACCTCAATGCCGGCGA